CCCAGGCCTCGTGAAGAGGCTCACTCGGTAGTTGGGCAAACGAGACGATCTGTGACCGGAGCTCCTGAGTCTTCTGATGGGAGTAATACCTCCCAATGAACTTGGTGTATACTTCGGTCCAGGTAGTTAGAGAAGCCGGTGCAAGTGTCATGAACCAGGCCTTGGCCCGGTCTTTCAATGTCTCGAGGAAGTACCTCATCTTCAATTGATCCTCGTTCAGCCCGTTGAGAAGAAAAGTATTGAGGACATTGTAGAACTCCCGGATAAAGTTAAGTGGGTCTTCACTCAGGAGCCCATGGAATGCCGGCAGCTGGTTGTAGTGACTCATCTTCAACTCACAATTCCGTGCAGGATCTGGCAAACGGATGCACGAAGTGACTGGCCCGATAACCGGCTGGGCTAAGGTTCAGAGGGTGTTACGAGGCGGTTGTTGCTGTTGTTCATCCATGTTGAAGTTGCTGCCTTCTGACGATTTCGGGGAGTGCTCGTCTCCTTCGTTAGATTCGAGAGTAAGCTCTTCCAGCAGCTCCCTCAGGCTCTCGTTGACTGATTTGTTGATCGGAGATAGCAATTTGCGTCCACTCCTGGTACGCATACACTAAGACCAACAAGGGTTACGAGCACCAATGATAAAAACAAAATAAAACAAGAACTAACACCTAACAAATAAAAAGAAAACAAGAGAAACACTGAAAACAAAATGAATAGGCGCACAAAATAAACCTAAACTTTCCCCAGCAACGACGCCAATTTGTTGTAAGTATTTTTACCGGAGTAGAATCAAAAGATTCAAACACCGGTGATATAGCCACACTGGCTCATAACGGTCCGTATCATCACGGTTCGAAACTATCAAGTCGACTTTAACAAAGTCGACTCCGCCAGTAAGGCTCCACGATACTCACGGTCAAGGATCCCGGCTCTCGTCTGAGTCAACGTACACCTTTCGACTAACATAAGTCGATTTCTGCCAAGACGACAGTCAGACGTGTCAGGATCCACTAACGGTTGAATGCGATCCAGTCGACTCGACTCGATATCTCAGGTCGACTGAAGGAGTCTTGCAGTTCGTAGTTCTCGATAGCTTTGATACACCTCAGCGTATTGAGGGAGAGTTAAGGATAAGAAGGAAGCTAATGAAGGATCTAGATACTGACTAGGAAGTAGGCAGAATACGAACCGACCAGGGTATTCTGGACATTTCCAGTAAGTCGGCCGGGGCACTTTGGGGACTTCAGGTAAATTTTGCACTTCTATATAAAGGACTGAGGTAATCCCAAAACCCTAACTCCCATTTTCATTCCACATTCTCCCTCACTGCTGCTGCTCTCTCTGAGCAGTTATCTTCATCTCTTTCACATACTGACTTGAGCGTCGAAGGCTCTACGCCGGAAACCCCTCCGGCGTTGAGTTCTTGCAGGTGTTCTTGAGGCTCAACAACGGTTCGAAGGCCATCCAATCAGATTTGAGCTCATTCATACTGGTTCATCCCAGATCCGAACATTTCCTCATCGGGCCGTTCCAGATCTGAGGAGAGACCCATCAACCGGGTTGTCTCTCAAGGAAGGTTAGCCGGATAATTTTGCACGTATATTCGATCACACAAAAAGATAAAACAAAATCCTAAACATTCTATTCAAGATTGATGGTTTGTTTATCGACTACTAATTGTAAAGCAAGTAATTGTAAAAGCAAGGCAAAACTAGGAATCTCAAGTTCGCAACTCAATACTCAAACTCAATTTATGATAAAGGGGCTAGGTTATCGGGGTCAATCAATTCTGGTTCTCAATACACTTAACGAGCAATCAAGAGCTCGGTTAAATGTCTCGCTAAACTACTCATCTAGAGGTCTATCCTCAATAACTCTTCGTAAGAAGAAGATGGACATAAACAAACAATTCTTGAAACAATCAACACATAAGAAATACTATTACGAACAAGCTTATTCCTAACGAGCCTAGATCGAACGATTTCTCCCTTTTCAGTTCTAAAATCGATTAATTAGATTAAGATGGTGATCAAGTATCAAAACCCTAAGCTAAGCACAACTCGAGAGGATTAAGCAATTATCATGCATATAAACGAAATCGAACCAGAACGATATTCCCCTAACCCTAGCTAACGGATTTAGCTACTCATCATGCATTCAACATCAAAATTCATAACAATCCAATCCATCTCAATTATTAAGAAAACAAAACGAAAGCTTATTACTAACCAACTCCACAGACAGCTCCAAAGCACGGAAATAACCACCCACCACTGCATAAGGCCTAGCAAGACGGAACCCGCACCTCAGGACCAACCGAAGAGCTGGCCCACACTCCAATCACGAAAGGCAGCAATTACGCCTCAACCCAGCCCGAAACGCCTTGAACACGACCAGACAACCGAGCACTAGCCGGAAACAGTAAACCTACTCCAGCAGAGACTACAACCACCCACAGTGTACCCCCAAAACCAACTCGCCAAGAAGCCCACCGGTCACTGACGCAATAGAGAAACCGAGACAAAGCAGCAAAACAAGACCATACCTTCAATTGACCCGGCCTAGAGCCAAAATAAGAGGAAGCCCACGACGCTCGCCGCTTCGCCGGTGAAAAGGCACCGTCCCGACCGACGACGAGAAGGGCGAAAGGGGGGAAAAGCGTCCCAGCGGCCCGGTCAAAACTGAGAACAACCAACCTTTCCTCGTCCATGGACCAGCACCAAATCCCGACCTCCGCCGTCCAATCCCGAACTCCAGCGACCAACAAGGAAAGAGAACTAATAACCCGTTGATCGAAGCTCGAAGCCGGAAAAGAAGCAGCAAAATTGGGAGAACGCAACACCTCCATGGACAACTGACGGAGGCCGTCCACCTCTAGACCCAGACTACCGGCGATGGAGAATTACCGGCTGCTAGGGTTTTGGTTCGGGCGAGAAGAAAGGGCAATAAGATCTAGATCTACTATTTTTTTTTTTTTTCACATAGCAAATCAACTCCAAAAATTTTGAAATTTAGATCACAACATCTACATAGTATTCGAAGATAATTTATATCATGATTTTTAGACATGCATAGCTCAAGATACGGATTTTAGCGTATTAAAGACAATAAATCTAGATCTCTCATTCTAGCTCCATGTTTCTTGATTTTATATTTTTAAAATACTTTATAATTCATATCTAAGCCATAGGCGGGGGATTGGGGTTTCTACCTTCTTCAGGACTCAAAAAAAAGAAAAGAAAAAGAAAAGAAAGTGGCTAGGGGCTTGTGGTGCTTGCTCGCGTGTGGCTTGGTGCTCGGGCAGATCTCGGCCTTGGCTTGGACATGAGGGAGCTGAGGGCTGGTCCTAGGCGTGTGGGTGGCTCGGGCTTGCTCACGGACTGCAAGGCTCGGTCGCTAGGATTATAAGGGACCAAGTGTTATGTATAGTGGCTTAGAGAATTTTATGATTTAGGATATTTTGGACTTAGAATTTTAGGACTTAGGAATATATTAGAGAGCTTTGGAATTGCTAGGAAAATGAAGTGGAAAAATGAAGAGGAATGGAGTGTTACGTGACATGATTGGTGGGATTGTCCCCTAAAGCACACACTGGTAGGTGGACATTAAATGCATGGTCTTAAATTTGAATTTGAAGACTAATGGTCAAAACCCTAAAGTACTACACTTGGGCTATTGATTAAAATTATATTGAGCTTCTTGCACTAAAATTTGGGCCTTGAAAATATGCCGGTCTTTAAATTGGGCTCGGTTGCACTCGAAAATGGGCCCGAAAATTATTGCTGACTTCTTGGGCTTGGAAAATGTTGGGCTCGAAAATAAAGGCTCGGCATTGGGCCGGCCATTGAGTTGGGCTCGGCCACATGGGCCTCAGAACTAAAATTGGGCTCGGAAACTAATTTAAATTCCCAATTTTCTAACGCTCGGTTTCGGATTCAAATAATACGGATACTTAGGCTAGATTAATTCGACTTCGGAATTAAAAATCGAAAAAATCATCCACGACTTAGACTTAGAATTTATTAATTAATTTAATGCTCGAAAATAATTAGAACTTGAAATAAATCAAACATGTTATTTATGGAACTAAAAGTCCAATTTATAAGTACTAAATATGTTTGAGGCATTACAATTAGTGCCCATGGAAAACCTAAATATAAGAAGGTTCCGTATATTTTTTACAATACAAGATAAAAACATCCAAATTTTGCTAAATACAAAAGTATAATTTATATTTCAATTACCCTGTAAATTNNNTTTTTTTTTTTTTTTGGTACAGGGACTTTCCGGTTTCCAGATCCACAGGGGAACCGACCTGTAAACTTTTTTGTTTAAATAACTTATAAAAGCCCTTTGAAATTGAATGCCGAATTAAATATATAACGACTTAAATTACTCGTGTAAAAAATGAAGCTATTCTTAATACAGAGGCTCCAACTTGTTAGAATGATAGAGCTGGAGAGTTGGTTGCTTTTCCTATCATTTCCATTGCTACAAAAGGCCTTTCCGCCGGTACCTGCCCAATTAAACCACATAATTACGTTAAATAATTAGTCAAACTCAACATTTTTTATTATTATTATTATTATTATTATTATTATTATTATTATTATTATTATTATTATTTCGTTTTACTCAAGCTCACTTTTCATTTACGTTTTGTTGTATAATTTTGTATCATTTTTGAGACATTACTCATAAAAAAACAGTACGTTATTTTGCAATCTGTATCATTTTTACGATATTAATACCAAAATATAATAAACTATTTTTGCAATAATGTTCGAATAGTGATCCAAATTTCAACATAACGTCCTACTACTGATAAGGAGAAAGTTTGTGTACCAAAAAAAAAAATAAAATAAATTAGACAAGTAAACGTACCAAAATTGAATTTTTGCCTTATGTTGATGGATTAAAAAAGAAAAAAAGATGATAAATTAGAGGGTTGGACTTACAAAGTGACCGGCTCCTAGAATCCAATAAAATGTCAAACTTTTGTAGGATTTATTGAATCCAAATAGAATTCCCTGGTCATTTAACGTGTAAAATATTGGTACCCTTTCCGTGCTCAAGAAATTCTGAAGCCCCTCCCACCTGATCGATTATATACACATATACAAATATTTATATACATCAGTGGATATTACTAATAATAATAATGGTAAATGCTACAGTCTCGTCATAGAATCATTCCGTCTGGGTTTGTAACCGTTAGATCATCAGGTAATCGTTGAGAATAATTGATCTAACGGTTACAAATTCCGACGGAATGTACCGTAACGGGATCGTAGCACATCCCAATAATAATAATAAGGATTAAGGATGAGTTAATTATTAATTTATGCTAATCACTTGTTAAAAATGGATTTATACATATATTGAAAAAAAAATGGAGTAAAAATTTCCAAGTAGTTAAAATCAATTAACGATCTTACTTGAGCTTTTTCACCCATGTTTCGGTTCCTTTGGGTGAGCAAATGACATCCAACTACAAAACCAAAATAACCCCCAAACAGTTCAGATTACAGCTTTTAATTAATTGTTCACTCATTTAAATTAATTCCAATTAGGTTATAATTTTGGGACATACTACTGTTTCGCTACGAAACCATTTCGTCGGGATTTGTAACCGTTAGATTAATATCGATGGCGGTTACAAACCCCGACGGAATGATTTCGTAACGGAATAGCATTTCCCTATAATTTTACCTGGCCAGTGTATATAGTCACGGGGACTCCTTTTTCCAACAGTAAATCAACCTGCAAATTAAATTGCTCGAAACAATTAACAAGCCGTTAATTAATTTGTTCACTCATTTAAATTAAATTGAATTAAACTACCTCGTTAATTCTTGGCTTCATAAATTCTCCAGCCAGTGCGTTGAAAACCAGATCCGAGCTGAATTCCCATCTGTGACCACATAAATACAATAAAATTAATTATAAGGGCCCTCCATTATGTTTATTTACCGACATTATTTAATCTTGTGCACATGTACAAATATTTTAAAAAAAAAAAATTGTGTTAGATGGGTGTTCATGTAATTATTTTAAATTATAAGTTAAATAATGAACATATCACATTTTATATATTTTATCATTTGGTTGTAAATAAAAACTATTTAACTTGTATATTAATCTCTACACTCATGCAGTTTTGTCTGATTACGGCCAATTAATTGAATAAAACAATATTAAAATTATTATTATTATTATTATTATTATTATTATTATTATTATTATTATTATTATTATTATTATAGCAACTGTTTAAGAAATTTTAAATGATTTGATTATGAAAAAAATAATAATTAACTAGTTTCAATAAAAAACTTGCTTAATAAGTTGAAATTTTTTTTTAAATAAATAGTTCGAAAAAAATCTTTAGAAAAGAATGACATTTAATGCGACTTTATGGTTACTTAATATTTACACTTTTATAATAAAATAAATAAAAAGATACAATTGTTTGATTAATGCAAAAATAACGGATAATTGAGAGAGAACACAAAGAGTTTTATTATTTTTTTTGCTAACAATTACATATATATATATAAATTAATACAATTATAATTATATAAGACTACATATTTAAACAATATTAATTAGAGAGAGAGAGAGAGAGAGAGAGAGAGAGAGAGAGAGAGAGAGAAACTAACAAATAGTACTCACTTAACATAGGGTGGTATGATCTTGAGTTTCTCTCTTATCACACCATTCATCAATATGGTAAGGTTAGAAGAAGAAACATTCGAAGAAGAAGAAGAAGTCGAAAATGTGGTGTATCGATTGGTCATCGAGTTTGTATTTACTAACGGGTCGTTCAATTCATCCAACATGAAATTGTAGATGTCCTGAAAAAATTAAACAATTAATTATTTTTTTTAAAATAATTATATTATATTTAGGCAAAATAAAATTAATATTAACAAGGGGCAAGAACGGAATTTTACCACACCCCAGGAGTTGTTTACGAGGACATCTACAAGATGATTAAATGTTGTGGTCGCATTTAAAAAGTCGCCAGCCTCAACTTGCTGCGTTATTTGCTTGGCAACACTGTATTTATTTATTTATTTGCAGTCAAAGTTATTATAATTATTATTAATACGACTGAATTTTGCATTAATTAATTATTACTACAATTTTGTTATATTAAATAATATTATATTATGTAAATAGAAAAAAAAAAAAGGTTCGGACCTGTTGGTCCTGCGGAGGCCATTTTCGTCCAGTCGAGACACATATTTCAGGACAGGGCCCCACGAAGACTGCATAAATAAACATAGAAGTGCGTGTGAGTGAGACTATATGAAGAAAAAGCCATGCACGTGCTTGCTTTTATTATTATTATTATTATTATTATTATTATTATTATTACTGTTATTTTTTTGTGGAGTTGACTTTTATTTAGTCAACAATTGATAAAATAAAGGATTAGATTAGTTATTACCGTAAAATCCGCTGGTGATATCCATGAGGAACCCAATATAAGTCCTACATTATTTCAAAATAAAATGAAATGAATAATAATGAACGTAGAATAAATGTAGAACTTTATATTTTTTTTTTTGTATATAATTTATACATAAATCACATAAAAAGTATGACATTTTATAATATAGGTCGACTTCGATATACAATTATAAATATAAAAGTAATTTTATAATATAGGTATCCATAATTTTTGTTTTTAAAAAGTGTGTATGTTTGGTAAAACTAGCTGATAAGCCAGTTGATAGCTGATAACTAGCTTATAATTTATCAGTATTTCCCGAGGTTATATAACTCATACTACCTCCTATTCTTTTTAAATGTCATTTTGGCATTATCAACTATTAACAAAATAAATGTCGTTTTGGATATTTGGTACATATTTTTTCATTATTACCCCCATCTACCTAATAAATACACTACGTCTTTTCATATTCATTCTTCATCTTTTTTCAAAGTATTCATCTCTATCCTCAGTAATGAGGGTTATTATTGGCAAAAAAAATATTCTTAATAACTGTGCAGCTTTTCAAAACGACAAATATTATGAATAGGAGGGAGTATAACTTGTAACTTATAACAGAAAAATTAGTTGAAATAAAAATTTCAACCAACTTATTTGAAAAACTACTCAAAGAAACTTATGAAACATGCTCGAGGTTTTTTAAATCAGCTAGTCCTGCCAAACGAAACTTATTTAAATACAAAGAACCTCTACGTTAATTTATTTGTCTATCAAACATAGCCTTTAGTACGCCTAGAAGTAATATAATTCAAAAATTTACGCATTTACCTCCAAAAGTTGCTTTTAAATTTCCACTCTGAATTTCATAGAGAAGATTTAAGGCAAGAATAGCAGCATGTTTTCCTCCATAAGATTCTCCCACAATATAGAGAGGACTCATCGGTAGACTCTCACAAGCATTAAAAACATGAATCAAAAGCTTTGTCAAATCTATTGCAGCCTCTTCATCACTTGTCACCAACAATCTTGAATCATTTACATAACTAAATCCTGTCCCTGCTGGACTATCCTATTATATATATATATATATTAAAAAAAAAAACTAATAAATTAAATAGGAAAATTAAAACAATAAAACATTTTTTTTGAATTTAATTTAATGTAATTTAATTTACCACAAACAAGAGATCAGCTTTGTTCAGCCATGTTGTGCTTCTAGGCTCCAAATTTACGTTCAGGGGTCCAATTTCTTCAAAATTTCCCTTTCCAACCCCTGATGCACCCTAATTGCAAAAAAAAAAAAAAATATGATACAATAATTGTTCTTTAATCCTAATTCAAAAACTAAAATAATAAAAAAAAAAAAATTGAAAATAATTAAAATACCGACAGGTCCACCCTGCAGCCAGAGGATGACGGGCCATTGCTTTGTTGAGTCTTCAGTCTTGTTTGGACTACGATAATACCACCAAAATAAATTCACCTCTGGAAAAAAAAATATAAATAAATAAAAGGACCAAATAATAATTATAATTTATAAACATAAAATAAAATAAATTGAAAATAAATGGAGATATAGAAAAATATTAAAAAAAATAAAATAAAATTGAGTCTTACGGTCCCTAACTTCAACATATCCCCAGCGTTCCGTTCCATCTTCATTTCCCATTTCATTAAACATAAATCCAAATTCAAATATTTCAAACAAAAAAAGAAGACGAACGACGAGAGAAAATCTAAGGTGAAACTTTTCCATTTTTTTTATTTTTTTAATTTTAGTGAACAAAAGCAGCTGTAATTATTTATATGAAGGGCTTGGAAATGAAATCAATGGTGTATTTATAGGAAGAAATTTTCAGAAAATAATGATAATAGTGAAAAATAGAAAGTCCTCTGTTCTTGAGTATATTTAATAGTTGACCCTGAATATAATAATAATTCATATGATCTCTTTTTTTAATTTTCGACCAAGGAAGCGTGTCAGAAATTTGTCATGCTCGATTCTAAAATTTTTTAGTCCAAGAAATTTTGCCGACGACGAATTTCTTCGTCCCGGCATCCTCAGTTTTGTACTTTTTTTCAAAGCAGGTCAAAGTTCTTTGGCAGAACCAACAGAGTTGTACACATTATACAACTCTAAGTCCATTCAGGACATACTTCCGGCAAAGGTAATCACATTGCCCCCAAGCTTCGTACGCAGCGCGTAGTTCAACGTTGGTTTTATTTTCAACAACAAGAGGGGGACCGTCCTTCAGATATTTTGTCAAACCTAAGGTGGGTTGGTAGAAGTGTATCTTCTGCTGCCACCTTTTGAAGTCAAGTCCGTTGATTTTTTCGGGTTTTCCAGCAGTCAGGACCTGAACAGCAGATACATGATGATAATGCTGAACAGAATTGTTGATCGGCTGCTGAGAGCTGGAACCTGCTCCGATGGAAGCCATCAGTTCAGTAGGAAAATATTCTTCTTGCGATTGTTGGATATTTGGGTATAAAATACACGGGAATCATACGAACTGATATGTAATTTTTAGTTCTTACAAATAATCTAAAAATAGAAAATTACAATTGAACTGAAAAAATAAATTACAACTGAAAAAGGGAAAGATTTTAGTCGAGACGAGTAAAACTCTTTCCGTAAGAAGAATACGCCCCGTGTGTCAGCTAATGGTTCAGGCGTAACTTCCCCAAAGATACAACGATAGACGTCTCTAAATCTGTAGCACATCAGATTTACGAGCTTCGGCGAATGGGAATGGAATCGAGAATTGAGCACTTAGAAATAAAATGAATATCTTAAAACAAATAAAAATATCACTTGTTTCTTCTCTTTTGATATTTTTATATCCGATATTTGAACATAAATCTACCTTTTCTTTCATTTTCCTTTCTCTTTATTTCCTCTCTTTTTCTCTTCTTTGAGTCTCCCGGTGCAATTTTTCCTTACCTCCCCAATTGATAGTAAAAATAATTTTTATTTTTTTTATTATTATTATAATTTTTTTTTATGAACAATTGGGGCGGTGTATGTGGGGCGGCACCGCCCCTTTATTTTATCTTTTTTCTGACACTTGATTATAAAATTTTCAAAGAAGTAAATATTGAAAATGTCGATTTTTAGTCCTATTTGAGTACAAATTATTGCTGCAGAGTTTTTTTTTTTCATAACGATAAAAATTCTCATTCAACAAAATATGAAGTTCAAACATAATCGAGGAGCTAATTAGCTCTTAATGATAAAAGGGAGCACTAGGGCTGAGTATAAGACTCGGAGAATTCCGAACCGTTCCAAAAATCGAACCGAAATCACTCCGAACCGAAAAATAACCTTTGACCGTTTGACTTTCTTCGAACCGAACCGAACCGAAAAAATAATTGGTACGGTTTTGGAGATTTCACAAATATCCGTACCGAGAACCGAACCGAACTGTATCGAACCGAAGAACCAAAGTTAAGAATCGAATTATAACATTAAATGTGTTACTAATATATTTTATGTAACTCTGATTGTATATAATATAGTAATAAATATTAACATTCACTTAAATTTCATTCTTAGTAATACTTAATCTACAATTGAATTTTTTCTATTATAAAATAATTATTTAAAATTATATGAAAGTTTAAAAAATATTTTTGTAAGAAAAAAATATTATATTTTATTTGAATTTTAAATTTTCAATATTAGTTACACAAATTTTAGTTATAACTAAAATTTAGAGTTACTTATAAAGTTAATTTCAAAATAAAATCTTTAATGTGACGAAGTAGTGATGAATGTTGGTTTTATTAAAGCATATAAAAATTAAATAACTAAAATTTAGAGTTACTTCTAGAATTGATTTCAAAATAAAATCTTCAATATGATGAATTATTGATGAATGTTGTTTTTTTAAAGCATATAAAAATTAAAATATAACTAGGTAGTCATTCAAAAATAATTTAAAGAAATAAAAAATCTCCAAAGATCCGAACCAAACCATACCGAACCGAACCGTCCCAATTGTCCCGAATACCAAGCCGAACCAAACCAAAAAATAAAAATCTCCAAACCGAACCGAACCGAATTTTTGGTACGGTTCCGGAGATCGAATTTTGGGATCTCCGAAGTTTGGTACGGTTCTGGAGATTTATCAATCTCCAAACCGTACCTACCCACGCTCACCCCTATGAAGCACCACCACATTCGGTAAGCTAGAATACACAAAATAAAAAGCAACAAACTAAAATAAACTAGAGGATAAGACAAATACATGCAATCATTTGAACCCTTACCTTCTAATATCTCTAAGAACACTAGCAAATAAAACAGCTAAAAAAAAGAACAAAAAAATACATCCAAAGGACTAAAGCTCCACTTATGTCTGTCATTGCTCCTTACTACACAGCATTCACTAGAGGTGAGTTACAACCAGTAAATTCAATCCATTCTGCCAATGTAGTCTGATCGCATCCAAACTTTCTGAAAAAGCCATAGGTTCCTAGTATGAAGCTGTGAGTATCATTCATTGAGTTCCCCCCAGTCTAAATGTGCCAACTTCCAGATTAGTTGTGATCTTGGACATTGGAAGAAAGGTGCTCTACTATTTCAAGGGCTTCTCCACAGCAATGACACATTTGATCCACATCCAGACCCTTCTGTTTGAGGTTAACACCTGTAGGCAGTGAGTTAGAGAAAGATTTCCAAATAAGGTGCTTGATTTTCCCTTTGATCCTCAGCTTTCAGCATCTCTCTCTTGCTGCCTTGTCTATCTTGGTTGAATTGTTGCCCTCAGCCCTATCCATCTTCAAAGTTCTTTGCATCATCAAGTGAGCATAGGTATTTGTACTGAGAAGCTTTCTTTACCCTTCCCCTCTAGCACTATGTATCTTGCTTCTCAGGTTTCAGAGTCTTGATGTTGAGGATTGCTGCAGCTTCTTCTTCAGTGAAAGCCTCATCTATTAGCTCATTGTTCCAGTATCTCCCATCAGCATTGAGCAGTTAAGACACCTTTGTAATAAGGCGTATATGAGAAGCTTTCCCTTTTGGGATTCTAGATAAGAGGTTAGGTACCTAGGGATCTTGCCATATTCTTGTAGTCTTGCCATCAGCCACCTCCATTCTGAACTGGTTTTGATAGGTGGTCCTTACCTTGATCCAATTATTCCACATCCATGAGGAGATGTTGGACTTGCAAGCTTAAAAAATGGAGCCTTTTTGAAAATATTTTTCTTTGAGGACTTTGCTCACCAACGGATTGAGATTAGTTGCTACCCTCCAAATTTGTTTGATGATCATATCCTCATTAAACAGTTGCACATCCTAAAATCCCAGTCCACCCCAGTGTTTTGGAGTTTTCATAAGTCTCCAATCCTTCCAATGAATCCCTTGTTTCTGGTCATCACCTGAGCTCGACCATAACTTGACACATAATTGAGAAATCTCCTGACAAAGGCCCTTAGGAAGACATAAACATGACATAATAAAACAGGCATAACATTCAACACTGACTTGGTAAGTACCTCTCTGCCAGCAGGTGAAAGGTATTTCTTTTTCCAGCTGATGAGTTTTGCTTTGACTGCTTCAATCACAAAATTGAAGGATTCCTTCTTTGACCTCCCAATCCCTAAAGGCATGCCAAGGTATCTTGAAGATCTATACACTTGTTGTTAAACGATTTTGTAACAACATAAAATGTACACCCCTATTCCGTGAATAGTCGATGTAGGATGAACATGAGTGTTTGATGATATTTGGAAGATGAATATCTATCCCTTTTTGTGTGATTTTTGATATGTTTTGTATATATTTCAGATCAAGAATTGAATGCAGAGAGTAAAAGAAATTTTAAGAAGATAGAAACTGTCTGTCCTATTTCTTGTCATGGAATACTTGTTATTGAATGGAAAAGAGGATCAGGATCCTTCTTGAGGCGGTGCCTTGTGATTCCTGATAAGGAAAAATTAAAAGTCCCTCATCTCTATCCCTTTAGCCCCTATTTATAGCTGGGCTAATATCGGCCCGTATATTAATGGGTTTGTACAATAAAATATGACCGCGCAGGGCCCAATAATATATATGACCACGCAGGGCCCAATAATATATATGACCACGCAGGGCCCAATAATATATATGACCACGCAGGGCCCAATTAATAAATATGACCACGCAGGGCCCAATAATTAATAGCTCTGACTGTTATTTGTCTTGTCAGCAATTGACATGTCTGAATAAGCGGCTTCTTTTGTGATATCAGGGTCAAGCTGGTGGTCTTTGAATACGGACCTCGTCTTCTGGGAACTCAATCAATATTAAATAGATAAAAGAACCTGCTATTTTATATTTATTTAATATATATATCCACGTGAAATATTTTAATAGGTGAGGCCAAAATTTAGGTAACAACAACACTACAATACCATGTAAAGTGTGGCAGATGCTTTGTTGGGTTGCAGAAGGTGTGTTCCTGCTGAAAAAAAAAAACTGAGGATTTCTCCAAGTTTACTCTTTGGCCTGTGAAGAGTTGACATTTTTGGAGGATTTGCAACAAACAAACAGATTGAGAGGTGTTAGCTTCAGAAAGGATCAGTGAGTCATCTGCAAATAGCAAATGAGTGAGCCTTGTACCATCTTTAACAAACCTCAACCCTTGGAAGAAAATTTAGAAAATTTACAAATATTCCAAATTTCAC